ATTTTTTAAAATTATTCTAAGGTTGAATACAGTATTACCAAACCATTCTAAAATTGAAATAAAATACATGTTCTATTTTAAAAATATACCAAGCAAAAATGTAGCACCCTGTATATATCTAAAAATATTTTTAAAATATGTATTTTTTAAATCCATATAACTTTTTTTTGAAACATGTTTGCGTGTCTTTAACATAAATTAAAATATTGAACAATTACGCACTAATAGGACATACACATGGGTACATACACATAGCAGTCAACGTGTTAACTCATAAATAAGATTCCTTATAAAGATAAAATAACATTCAGGAGAAGAAAGCAAACACCGCCAATATTACGTGCGTATCATACAATGATGCCAGGTCATTCGGATTTAATTTACATCGGAATGCAATAAAGTTCCTTCCCTTTCCTGCATTTCACCATTGTATATTTCACCCACTTTAAAATCAAATTCGTCCTAGAAAGAATTGTGAAATTATCGTATAAATCGATAATCTGGCAACGTGGTCAACACTTGTTTATACACAGGCAAAATCAATCGATAATTTGGAACCAAACGAGAGAAATATATTTATGAAAATCACAAAACAATAAAAGACTGCATACACCTGTATCACTGTTTCAAAAATTGGTACCTCTAAACAATCATTTACCTATTAAAACCATCTCTAAAACAGAGTAGCTAATTGTTTTTTACGGTGACATCTTCTTAAAAATAGATGAACTACATGAACTATACACAATTACAGGAATTCATAGAAAATCTCTAATTTGACAAATAAATTTATCAAATATTTGTTAATCGTATTTCCAGTTAGATTTGAAAAATACGCAATAAAATTTAGAAATATTTTGGCGGGATACTTGGAAAAATATGTAGAATGAAATCTCCTACTTTTTAGCCTCTGGTTTTAAAATCACTTTTTATGATTTTTTTTAAAATTCAGTGTATAAACAGGACAAATAAAAAATAGGAGATTTCATTCTCCAAACCTTATACTTTAAGCTGGTAGAAGAATCATTTTAATACATTTAGCGGGATTTAAATGCAATCGGAAATGGTGAACCCTTGCTTCTTATAAGAGAAATACAGTGATACTGCGGCCTTAATCGAATTAAATTACGGGTTTTGAGCTTACATTAAATTTTAATTAGATGAAACAAAATGGATTTTGAGGTGATCTTTTCAAAAAAAGGCAAAACAAAATGTAGCAGTGCCGAAATTTTGGATTTTGTCAATTATTCAATTTTGCGCAGGCGCATGTCGGAAATAAATCAATATTTTTAAAACGCAGTTTACGACATTTGAAAGCTTAGGAAAAATGCTAATTTTTATGTCTCTTGAGAAATTTTGATCCTATGCACCGTTCTCGCGGTATGGACGATTGAAATTTGTTTAGTATTTTGAGGCGACGAAGGTCGAAAAATTGAATTTGTTAAATGTTCAAACACTAAATTCTTTATAACATTGGTAAAAATTAAGATATTTGAAAAAATGCGTTTTGAACTTAAGGGATGTGACTAGTGATTCCCAGAAGGGGGAAAGAGAAATCCCAAAATTGGGCATATGGCGGAAGGGCAAAATGCCCTAATTTCATTGTTTGCCTATAACGGCCAAACTATTTGAATTTTTTTAATGCCACTTACAAAGCTTACTCTTAAATGTGAAATCTTATGTGTGTGTGAATTTCACCGACATCGGGCCATAATTGGCTAAGATATCAAACAAATAATTTTTTTTTCCAAAAAAAAAAAATAATTTTTTTTTTCGAAAGTTTGAAGTGGCACAAAAATGCCAAAACTCTACCCAATGGCTCAAAACTTTTTTTTTTTGAGTACTCTATTGTGTCTAGAATACGATTACATTACGGAAAATTCTGCAAATATATTTTATCTATTTTTTTGACCACTGTTCATTGAGTGACGACCAAAAAACACGGTTTTTGAGAAAAGTTGCCTAAAATTGACAATTTTTAGTTTTTTTGTCTGAAAATTAAACAAACCCAAATGTCATGTCTTCTAAATGTGTATACAAAGTTTAAAGTGTGTATGTTTCTTCTAAGTTGTAGAATTCTCCCGACAAAAGTCCCATTACACGCGCTCCGCCGGATCCAAAACTCGTGTATACACTACATTGATTTTTTTGCGATTTCCAGTTTTAAATTTCTTGCATATCTAAACTTATTAGGCTTAAAATTTATTAAATTGTATTTTACTGACTTGTTATAAGACGTTTCTTGAGTTTTGTGCAAAATATAGAATTACCAGATATTAGCGAACAAAAAGCAAGCTTATCACCAAGTTGGAACTTAGGATTAATTTCCTAACATTTTTAAAGTATACCTTTTTGTGTATTTTTTTGTGCTCTTTTCGATGGCGAAGTTAGTTTTTTCAAATATATTTATTTTGTTAGATGTTTTCGGAAAACCCGGAAAAAATCACATGGGAAAAAAATTAAAAAAAAACTACGCCTCTGGTTTCCTGCGAATTCCCGAAAAATTATGTCAGATTTCTCCGCGGGACTTATTTTATTTGAGAGCCAACAAAAAAATACGCAACTTCTCTCATGGGCACATATGTCGTAACATTTATAATTTCGCCACAAATTCATCGCAAATTTCATGTCCATGGTTCTGATCAAAAAAACGAAAAAACGACTTTTTGGTAAAAGCACTTCTGGCAGCGAGAAATTCGCCATTAAAACTACCTGTGCAATGAATTTCCGAACTATTTTTGCCTCCTCTTTCGAATGGTGCATTTATTTTCACTATCGGAATGATACTTTCCCAGATAATTAGCATTTTTACAATGGAAAATTCCGGAAAACCCGGTTTTTCCTAATTTAAAAAAAATTGAAAAACTGCTACATCTTTTTTTTTTCTTTTTTTCGGAAAGATCACATCAAAATACACAAGGTCCTTTTTGTTTCATCCAATTACAAATTAATGTAACCTCGAAGGGGCTTTTTTTCGTTATTTAATTGGACTATACTGAATTCATTCCATTTGGCTGTTATACACACTGTATATTGAATGTCAGTATAATATTGAACTCACTTTTCATAACTTGTAATTTGTTAAAGTTTGGAGAAAGGTAGGTACTCTTGTAAACCCCTTAAATTAAAAAAAAATATATTTTGATTTGCAAGATCAGAACCTGTACAATATCTTCTCTTATTTTCAAATTATATATTTGAATTTTCCGGAAAATCAAGATCTCGAAGTCTATTGATTTAAAAAAAATTGAATAAAAATTAGGGGATTGAGAGGGGGGGGGGTCGAAATATAAAAAACTATTTTAAAATTTTTAGCAAACATCAAACTCTATAAGGGGTCGAGGCATATGGATTTTGAAAAAATCTAAATTTAAAACTTCGCTCCCAAACATATCTGGTCTGTATGCGCCCCAGCTCTCAGGTGACTGCAAAAAGTGGCAGGTCTTATTTTTTGCTGGCTGTAGTTAGGTATAAAGGAGTGGGTGAACAACATGCCTATCGAAAGATTTTTAGTTTTGCTAGCAATTAAATATAATAATAATAATAATAATAATACTCTCCCTAATTCACCCCCTAACGAGTGAATTTTAACCCCAAAAGCTGAGCTTGTGCGGGGAAAGGGACCCTATTATTATTATTTGCCGTGGCGCTCCGGGGCGACTTAAAGATGATTGATGGTACCATTTGACTTACAGGTGAGGAAAACCTCACCCACCATCATCGAGACGGTAATGTATGGCGATTTTTATATATGCTCCCAGACGTCGAAACCGATTAATAGATCCCTTTGCAATAATTTGCTGTTGTCCGGTTTTGCTACTTGCAGTGTAGGAGTTGCAACCAAGCGACTATAGATATTTACAGAATATAGCTTAAACAGGGATTTTCTAAACCTAAGATGATGAAATCATTTTTTTGTGTCTGCGAAAGGGTCAACTTTGTGAATGGGTGTAAAATGGGAACCAAGAGTCTAAAAAAATACTCAAAAGGTTTGTATGACTCTCATTTAAGAGTTCTGCCCTTGCAAGAATTTTTTTTATTCAATAGTTCTACCCCATTCAGCCTTTTATTCGTCCCGGAGTTTTCAAGAAAAAATGTCAAAATCGTCTAATTTATGGCCAATGGGGTAAAACTACTGAATAAAAAAAGGCAATAAATACTTAGAGTCATACAAACATTTTGAGAGCAATTAAATGACTTTTGGTTCGGAATTTTTTTTCATATCAACCCTTTAACAGTCACCAAAAATGAAAAATCATCTTAGATTCAAAAACACTTAGTTTGAGCTATATCCAGAATATCGTTTAAAAAGTTAAATATCAAATCACGCGGCCGAAATCTCTACACCGGAAGTAGCAAAACCGGTTGACAGAAAATACTTGCAAAGGGAATTTTTTTATGCATGTCTAGAATCATACTATTTCATTTCCATCAAAAAAATGAAAAATCCATCAATAAGCTACTGTACTTTGAATTTCACAGGTCACTGCTCTTACCTGAAGTGTCCAATAACATTATAATTGTTTAAATGGATTAATAAAGAATTGAATTGACAATGGGGAAAGAGTATTTGTTGTTTACCCCCTCCCCTGTACCCAACCACAAATAGCCAGGAATAGGCGACTTTACTCTTTGGGGATCCTCTGAATATGTTTTGACCATTTTCGAGATGTCTGTATCCATAACTAACCATTTTAAAATTAAGCTCTAATCCATATTGTGCCGAGTTAATTAGATTTTGGGCATAGTTGGAGTATCTTGAAGGGAGTTACTTTATTGGGAGTATGTTTCTACCATGTATTATTTTTTTATCTGTTATTTATGATAATAGAAGAAAATTATTTCATCCAGAATTATTTGCGATGTCATATTCTATATTTTTTTGTCCTATACATGACTTCTCTAAAGTGGACTATACAGGAAAGTCATGTGTTGGACGCATCATATTTTTTTTATATTTTTGAAAGTAACTGAATTTTAAGAATTTTGTTTTATTTTAGCTATGAACTGGACGAATCCTCACCCATAGATGATGAAGAGGAATCCTTTCCATACGAAATTTTAAGCAAAATAAATAAAAGATTGCCACCTCTAATTGCACAGCCAAAAACGCATCCTAGTAACCATTGCTGTTCTGGACACGATCATCACCATTAATATACTTTTCTAGCATTAGATTAATTTTAATATTTTAAGTATTTCGTCCTGTGGTTTTAAATTCAATGAATAAAAACACATTTTCTTAATTATACATGTTTATTTATTATAAGCTAGTAATCATACCCCATACAGGATACTATAATACTCAAAATATCTAAGCCTTACAAAGGTCCACCATTGTTAATAACTGCTATTTCCTGTTCATCTAAATTCCTTCTTTTAAATCTAATTGGTAATTCGAAATCCCAAATTGCAGCGCCTTGTGCCTGTTGCGATGTCTGGTTTGGTTTAGAGGCTGTAGTGGGAATTACTTGATTTTTAGATGCTCCATACCTAAATTTAATAAGACGGTTTTGCAAAGTTGGGGTATACGATATAGAACGTCGTGATACCTGGGAGAGCATGGCTCTATTCCTATTGTTAACAAAATAAATTTTACATTAATGAAAAAATTGAAAAATGAAATTCTCTTATGTCACTATCAACCCCACCAAAACTCAAATCGTCATCTTTTTCTTTGGTAATCTTCTATTTCTGTGGTCTCTTGCACGTATGCAATCACGTTACTTTTTGTTATTTTTATTTACGAACCTCGAAGAGAAGAGGGTGTTCTGTGTTTATGTCGCTGATATTGATATTGATGTTCTGTAGTTCTGTGGTTTTGTAACAGGTTAGGTTATGTCTATGTGCATTTTTAAAATATCTATGGTAATGTGAAAATTTCAAAATGTTTAAAAAAGTGGCCATAGGTATATCTGGTGGAGTAGATAGTGCTATAGCAGCTTTACTTTTAAAAAGAAAAGGTACATATACCTTTAATTTAAAATAATAGATTCTAATTTTTTTCTTCAGGTTTTGATGTACAGGGTGTTTTTATGCAAAATTGGGATATAAGAGATGAAAAAGGAATTTGTAGTATCGAAGAGGATTTTAAAGATGCTCAATATGTTTGTGATAAATTAGAAATAAAACTTCATCTTGTTAATTTTGTTAAACAATATTGGAATCTAGTTTTCTGGTAATTAAGAACTACATTAGGTTCTTTCGGTTGGCGGTGTAGTGTCCACTGATGGATATTTTCTCCACCAGCTATTTAGCAAGAGTAAATTATACTCGACATGTGTATAAGGAGGGAAGTAAACTAGGTAAATAAGGTGGTGTAATTTACACTGGTCGACACTGCACCAACAGCAAACGAAAGAAACTATAAACACATATTTGTACAATATTTAAAAAAATAATCCTTGGAATTGTTAAAAGTGTACTCTCATCTAAAACTCGCCATTTTATTTCACATAGTGAAAGTTAATTTATTAAAGAAACACTGTAACTGCCCTCAAACATTAAATACAAAATTTTAAATAAAACTTTTCACTTTGAAATTCTATGAAGCATTTGGAAATATAAGGGTTATTGAGTTCAAGTAATTTTGCACCTAGTTGCACTGATTAGCTTAGTAGTTATGGTATTAGAGATGAGAGTGTTAATTTTATTTAAAAAATATGGTGTAAATCCACCACAGAACACTCAAATGCACAAACAATAAACAAAAGTCCAGTGTCAATTTTTGAAAAGCTAAAATCCATGAAAATACAATACATTTAGAACTATTCTTAGTAATTTAGTAAAAACTAGAACAAGTTTTGATAAATTTTTTTAGTAACTAAATTTAGTATTGAATTTGCTGTTTGTAACATGAATTATTTTAGAACTTGAAAAATGTATTGAGTCATCTACTTGCAAAACCGACTGTACATCCATTTTAGCAAATATTAAGATATAAGCAAAAATATCAGCATTCCTAACTTTGAAGGAAATATTCGTTTTCAATCATTTTTTTTTAATCGAAGTGCTTCTTATAGAGCTTGATGTTTCCTAAAAATTTCGAGTTGATATCATTTTTCGTTTTTGACTTATTGTGCAGACAAAAAACGGACATTGAACAGATGTACAAAGTAAATCTATAATACTTTTTACAGAGTAGGTATAATAACAATATAATCAAGGCTAAAACAATAACATAATGGACTAAAAAATAGGTACAATAAAAAAAATGATAAAGTCAAAGTTTTGAAAATGATTTAATAGGTAGGTAATCAGAAACTTAGAGGTAAACTGCACTTTATCATTCTAGTTAACTAGTAACAGTAAACTGAATATTGTTTGGACACTTTCTGTGTTCCATATTTACATATATTACTTATATTTCAACAAGAAATGTAGTTAGCCCCAATCATTGTCACAATATGTATTGCTAACTAATAATCTAACTATTCAAACTTTTTTAATATACATGAATTGTTAGTTTTTGTAAAATATTTATATGACATAGTGTCATATACCTCCAACATGCCTCTATAAATTGTACGACTAACATGAGATTTAAAAAGTATTATTTAACTTGTAAGTTTATTGAATAGTGTTATTTTTTTTAGTCAACTTTTATTGTGACATTACTATACATGGTATAGTGTACCCCTGAAAAGATCTCAACGAACTGATATAAAAAAATATAACCTTTATAAAACTGCACTATCGACATATTTCAGTTTACCTCCAAAGTACTAATATCGATAAATATTTTGTCTTTACGATATAAGTATATAACTAATCTAGACACAACTCTTTATTTTCTTGAATTAATTTACTCCATTGCAATATTTATTATTAAAATAACCAAAAAAGGTTGACAGCTGTGTGCACGTAGTTTAAATTCAATAGGAAAGACTTGTATTTCGTGCAAAACTTTTTAATTAATAAATGCAGAGCGCTTTCGGCTTATTTGCCATCATCAGTGCTTATTGTCCACAACGTATCCAACAAGTTCCTGGTCATCCTCACTCCCAAAATTAGATATTTCGGGATATTTACAACTTGCTAAATCAGATTCGTATGCCCCGCCCTACTTTGTGACGTAACGCCTTGATTATGTGCGATGCACAAAATAACGTGATTTTAAGCGGGCGCATTGTTTGCTTCACGGATCTGTTGACGTGTTGACCTCTCTTTAGCTACAGACTTTCGCGAAAATATTTCGCTCCCTCAGGTTCAATTATAAAAGTGCGCCACGGAGAGGCGATTAGCCAGAGCATAGTAGCGTACCCAAAAATAGAGGTTGGCACATATGAAAATAATAAAATTATTAAAATTGATTTTAAAAATAATGTGTTTTTATGCAATGTAACTGGGCGTTCACTGCACAAATGAAACAATGGAGAAACCGCTCCTGGTTGGATGTAGCCGGTTTTGCAATGCATCCCCATATTTGAGCGCAGATTTCAGTCGGATGGAGTCGCTTATGATATAATCGGAATATACCATGTAATAAAACGTATTTCATAGTATACTATCGCACATTGAAATAAGTTTAATTTTTTTTTTTTTTTATGTAGCCGGTATTGCAAGTAGATGACTCAATTTAGTGTCCTGACAAACAGCGGAATTTAATTTTTAATGATCACAACATGGCTTCTCTAAATAAACATTGGCAGTAATTTATTTTCCTTATTTTTAGTGATGTAATCAAAGAATATGAATCTGGACTAACACCAAATCCTGATATTTTATGTAATAAAAATATAAAATTTAATTATTTTTACAAATATGCAATAGAACATTTAGGTGCAGATGCCATAGCAACTGGACACTATGCAAATACAAGCTTTGGACCTTATCTGGAAAATTATGAGCCAGATAAAGGTTGGTTAATAGGTATTTAAATTATTAAATTTAACTGCTAAAAATAAATTACAGATGTAAGACTTCTCTTATCGAAAGATGCTAGGAAGGATCAAACCTTTTTCTTGTGCCAAGTGAAACAAAATATGTTAAGAAGAGCTATGTTTCCAATTGGAAATTTAACAAAGTCTGAAGTAAAACACATGGCTGTAGAAAATGATTTAAAGAAAATAGCTTTAAAGCCAGAAAGCATGGGCATATGCTTTATAGGATCTAGAAATTTTCAGTCATTTATTCAAGAAGTAAGTTCCATGATCTGTGTAGTATTTACAAAACTTCAAATCTGTATTTGTATTTTTATCCATACATTTCTTATAATAGCCGCAGGCTAATGCAGGGTAACAATATTTGTAATCTGTCTGTAGAAGAACCGACAATGGGCCATGTTCACATGTGAGATATGCTGTTTTATAAACTATATTGTAATAGTTAGTCGCTATACAAGTTATTCTAAATAATCAGTTCGTTAAAAAACCTAAAAGTTTTTAAATTAAGCCCAATTGAAATTTAAAATTTGAAATTATACGTCATCGGGAATAGACCAATCAGCTTGTGTCGAAGTTTTTTTTGTTTTACAAAACCAAGCCAACGAACAAACCTACATACAGAATGTCGAAGTGAACGCACATCTAAGTGACATTTAAAAATTGACAGCACCTAACAACTAACCTTAGTTTTTTGTTTTGGTTTAATTTTATTATTAATCTGCATTTATCTGGGTAAATTATCCTGTGGGATATAGGATATATAAAGGAAGAAGAATATGAATTTATCAGCTGTATTTATAAAAGTTGAATCAAGTATTTTTCCCATTGTAAACGAAAATATGATTACCGAGATGATTACTGCATTTTTTAACAATACTCAGTTTCCAAAAGATAGAAAGGTAAAACTTTATTTATAAATTGTTTTAATGGTAGGTAGTTACAGTTTATATGAAGCAGTACACTTTATAGTAAAACATATTTATCTCAGGTTTTATTTTTAGATCTGCCAAGCAAGAATATGGAGATATTTACTTTTTCCATAAGAGAGAAGGAGACAAATTACACCTAAACATAAAGTACAGCAAAAACCTTATGATGTGGCTGTTTTTTAGTGCACAATGCTTACGATATGTTGAATCTCAAGGTTTGTAATATTTATTATGCTTTTTTGTTTTTATATCACATATAATAAACAGTGTATAAGGCCCTTTATTCTTATAAATATTTTTTTTCTAATTTTGACATAAAGAGACATTTTTTGTAATCGCAGCAAGTGTTAAAATAATCTAGAAATAGATTTTGTTAGTGAACCTAGTAATAATTATGATACCAAAGAATGCTGCAGAGCACCTATGAAATTTTGAGTTAAAACATGCCATATTTTTAGGCTATTTTTATACCCTTTTCAAAAATTTTATGCTCCTCGTTTTATGCAAAACTTAAAATGCTCTTATAGCTTCGAACGAAGTCAGCAAAGCACCTCTGTTTTATAAAGTTTTTTCTGTAAAAACAGCAACACCATATATTTATGCACTTGAAATATTATATTTTTAAAAAATACATGGTGCTTGCTAACCTTCGAAAGAAGCCAGCAGAGCAATTCGGTTTTTTAAAGCTTTTTTCTAAAAACCACACCCCATTTTTAGACTCTTGAAATATTGTAAAACTTTACTAAAAAAATTGCTATTTTTAAATAATACAGGGTGCTTTGTTGGAACAAAGTCAGCAGGACACTTCAGTTTTTTAATATATAAAAACAACTACTTATGACACATGTTTAGGCTGTTTTAAAATCCTAAAAATGTGGTAAGTATATTTGTTTTCAGAAAAAAAACTTTGAAGTCAGGGAATTGCGAATTTTTTTTAAAAATGTCAAATTTCGAATATTTTATAATATTGTAGGAGCCAAAAAATGTGGTGTGGTTTAAAAAAAAACTGGGGTGCTCTGCTGGATTCGTTTGAAGCTAACAAAGCATCCCGTAATTTTTTATTTTATAATACTCAATAGCCTAAAATGAGACATAGCTGTTTAAACAAAAATGGTACTTTTAAAAATAGCAGTTTTTTCGAAAAGCTCTATAATATTTCAAAAATGTGAAAATGTGGTGAGCTTGTTTTTTTTAAGTTTTGAAAATCAGAGGTTCTTTACTGGATTCGTTCAGAGCTAGTAAAGTGCTCGTCTTGTTACATAAAATAAGGCATTTTGTAGCTGGTTATATAGTTATTTTGTAACTGCATATCTAACCCTTTTATTTTTTTCAGGAGGTTGTAAACATGTGGCTTCATAGAAGAAGTGAGGAACCATCTGTAACATCTACTCAGTGTTATTGATAATGATGTACACTTGGCTAGATTGTTAAAGAAACCTCTTCATCCACTACAGGAAAATAAATCAGTACTTTTATATTCTTAGGATTTGTATATATTTTTTATTTGTAAATAAATTGTTTTTTTACTTCATTTTTCTCATTTTTTATTAAAAGGTTAATAAATAAAATTTTCACAGATTTTTATATTTTTGTTTGTAAACAATAATTGAAGTTTTTATTAAAAATCACCAATGTTAATAATAATAACTTAAGTCAATATTATTCTTTCTCCTTTTTTAAAGCTACTATTAATAAAGGTATTACTTTAGCTTGACCTATGATCAATTTTTAATTTTGTGATATATTTGGTTTGACAGAAAAAAAATTAAAACCCTTTGACATTGGTTGTTTTTACTTAGATTTTCATAAAAAATAAACGGAACTGCAAACATGTTTTACTATCGTAATAACGAATAGCAACATGAAATTTTTTTTTCACATTTATCACTGTTGTCATTTTCATAAGAAGGCACACTTTCTGGTTTTTTGAAAAAGGTGGCAAGAACTGTGATATTTTTAAATTTATCACCAGTTATACCACATGTAGTTACCCGATTTATTGGAATATATAGACTTTGCTACCACATTCAACTGAACTTGGTTTTTAATATTTATCACTGTGACATAGGCGTTTTTGTTAAAATGTTTCATTTTAAACTGCTGTAAATAGGTGCCTTTGTTTTGGTAGTTTCAGTCCCAAACAAATCTATGCATATACAGGTACTCATTCCTCTTCAATTTGCTCGAAAAGTTAAATTTTTATCAAAAATTACATTGGCTGTTTAAAAACTCATTATAATCCCTGAAATGTGATAATTAGGTAAATTAAATTAAAAAACAAAAAAGTTTATTAAATTAATATTTACTCTTACAAAATAGGTTCTTGTAAGTTAACAACAAGCAATTATGCAGATATTACTAAGTAAATGTACTTGCTTAAAATTCACACACGAATGTGGTTTTAACATGTTAAATTAACTAACCCTTCTTATAACTCTTTCCACATGTATTCTTAGAGATGCTATTCTTTTACTTAATTGTACATCTTCTTGAGAAGTTTTTTCATTCTGTGATACACTAGGTGTGGCTTTACTAAAGTGTATCCCATGTTTTCAAGTAGCTGATTATTCTGAAACCCCTATCTGCCATTATATGGGATCCAGGAACCAGTTTGTTTAAATACCCACATTTTTCCATTATTTCTTTATCACTAGTTCTTCCACAAAATGATGAATAAATTCGGTATCTTCAAAACTTTCAGGAGATTCTGCATTTTCTTCCAGAAGGGTTTTTAGGTTATACACCTAAGAATTTATAGTATCCTTATTTTCAATTTCCTGAAGGGGACAATTAGCAGAAATTGCTGCTACATCTTGATAATCCGGTGTATTTTTATTAAAAAGTTCACGAGAAACATCGCTAGTAGAAGGTTGATTTTCTTCTTTCCAAATTTCTAGGAACACTAATAAATATTTTTGAAGATGAATGTGAATCATTATCACATTCTGGAACAAAACACTTTTTCGTAGTCATAATATTTATAAAAAGTACAAAATTAAACAATCAAATTCCAAATAAATTCTTGATGGAGACACTATGATGACAGATGCCATACACAGTGCTGCCATTTTGCCATTTTCTGAATTATTAAGTGACTTTTAAAACAATGAAACCTTAAATATGGTAAAAGTTTAAACAGAAATAATACTTTAAAAAAACATTTGATATTATATATTTAAAAGATATTTGTTTAACGATGTTTTAGAAGTCTAAAAGTAAGAAGGAGTACACAAACGAACGTACATCACTTCTCGTAAACCTTCTAGCCGGCAACGTTGTGCGCTAGCTCCTATTGGTCTATTCCCGGTGACGTCATAAATTTTAAAAAAATTCATAACTCCGGCAAATGAATAGATAAAAAAAAAATAAAAAAAATGTAATTTTATTTTCAACTCTATTATTCATAAAAAAAATTTCAAAATTTTTGAACATGCCCCATTGTAGCAATCTCTTGTGGCTAAGGCTAATAAGAATCTGCTGCTTCTGGGTGAATATAACCAGAAAAGATCGGAAGCCTGTATCTGCCTGAGCAAGAACAGGCTATGCATTATAGCAGGGATCTTTACTGGGCATTACAGACTCGAAGGACATCTTAGTAAATCGGAGCAGCCGCTAATAAAAACATGATTTTCGCTTAAAAATACAGATACGAGTTTTTGCCGTCCAAAAAATATACATTATAATAATTAACACAAAGCTTATTTAGTATTTGTAGTACATTGCAGATAAACCAGGTGACTTTGTTGATGTAGATACTGGAAACATTTTAGGAAAACATAAAGGAATTCACCAATGGACACTAGGTCAAAGAGCGAAACTTCAAGGGCTACCTTTTGCCTACTTTATAGCTAAAAAAGATGTTCAAAAAAATATAGTATATGTGGTAAATATTGATTGATGTCGGAAAGGAATGTGAAATAATTGTTTTTTCATTTTAGGCTCAAGGTACTGATCATCCCATTCTTTTCAGTGATCTAGTTTTTACTGGACAACCTTATTGGATTCATTCAGAACCATCAGAACTACAATTAGATAATATACTGGAGTGTGACTTCAAATTTCAACATACACAGTTCTGGACGCCTTGCCAAGTTTGCAAAACCAAACAAGGTTTAATTGTGAAACTATCTGAAGAAAAGAGAGCTTTAACCGAAGGACAGTATGCTGTTTTTGTAAAAGATAAAGAATGTTTGGGTAGTGCAAAAATAAAGAACACGGGTGTTTCCAGTTTCTCTTATAATTATTTACAAAGTAAAGAGTTACATGTAAAAAATGAATGTAAAGATAAAAAAATAAAAGTTTTAAGTTGATATATGTTTATTTGTAAAAGATTATGCAAAGACTTAATGATTATTATATTTACTTTTTTTTGACAATGTGTCTGAATCACATTTTCCTGCTTTCTTACTTTTTTTATGCCTATATTTTTTTTGTCTTTCATCCTCATCACTGCTAGTATTTTTACTTTTCTTCTTCTTTTTCTTTGAATTCGATTTTTTTTCTGTTTCAGATTCAGGCTCTTTCTTTACTTTAACCTCATCATTTTCCGTTTTTATAGGGTAAATAGGTAACCTAAGTGGTAGTTTTATATCTGCTTCTATTTGATCTGCTATTGTTTCTCGGTAATCTCTTGGAGGACTTTTTTTAACAATAGAAATATATTCAGGGGCGCATCCTTTTAAGTTTAGTTCTTTAGTTTCCTCATCGGTTTTTTTGCCTTCCTTTGGAACTTTGTAGTCTGCTACATGGTCTACTCGGATTATCCTTCCTACAATTTTTATACCATTAAAATTATCGACTGCTAAGATTGTAGATCTCTGATCTTCATAACAAAGAAAACAAAATCCTTTTGATTTTCCGGTGTCTTTATCACGTATAAGATTGATATTGACAATTTCCCCATATCTGAAATGAACAAATGTTTATTTAATTATTTGTATAATCTAGGTTTAGAATGCAATCAAAGGATATAAATGTGAGAATTATCCAGAGCGTTTGATAATTTAAACATCTTAGGAATCTCAGATAAACAAAAGAAATACATATTCCGCTGCACAAGCTAAGTTAAAAATATCGAAAATTACGGAAAAATAATTTGTGAAAAGCAGTTTAATGTGAAATTAGACACTTATACTCCAAGTATTAGTGAAGGAAAACAGCAAATCCGCGAAATACTGCAATCTGACACTGGTTTGTTAAGGACAAATGTATACCGGGTGTTCAAATTAAAGTGTTACAGTTAAATACCGCCGAAAATATGCATTTTAGAAAAAAAAGTTTTATAGTTTTTGGGGGGAAACATTTTGGCTAAATTCATTTTTTTATTGGCGATTCAAATTAATTTTCGCGCGCCTGTCATTTGCCACTTATAAGTAGGATGTTTGTTTATTTACATGTTTTTGTTTTGGGCGGATTTTGTAGTTGTGATTTTTTTAACTGTTTTTAGATAATATTCTCATTGTAATATTGTTTCTGAGTTTCATTTAGTGCTAATTTAAGTTTAAGTCTCGTGCTTTCGTCATAAATATAATATTTATCATGTGTATGACTTATTTGTTGGAAATATTTACCTATAGGTTGCTACAAGAACATCTAGAAATATGTATTCACTAAACTCAGGACATGTTTTATTACGTGGTTTAAAGTACATTTCAGGTACCACACGTTTATTATTAATGAACTTATTTAAAAATCTTACTAGACTTATTCTTATATTATGAAGTGAATCATGTAGTATTTGTATACATGTAAATGGTAATAAAACTGTCACAAATCAGATTACAGTTTGATTCTAAACAAAGTTTTGTAAAATTTCAATATTGTGAATTTGTAGATATTCATTTATCGTAAAAAACAAAATTTTACGACTTGCACTTGGAAAATATTGAATAGTTCAGTTTTGATTTTGACATTTACACCATATAGATTGCAATTTTCTGGGGACGTTTTCGCAGATTTCATTTTTAATATAAACACTATCACATACTATAAGAAATAAACAAATTTAAAGCTAAAAAGTAAGAAAAAACTTGAATTGTAATTGATACAAATTAAAATGTAAACAATGAACACGAACGCCAATGCTGCCAAATGATCAACTAATTTTAAAACAAAATTAATAAATGAACTGAAATTTTAAAAAATCCATATAATAAATCGGTTTTATAAAAAAATCGTTAAATAAATATAGAGTATGATTACATATTACCACACACAAATTTTGATTTTTAAATAAAAGGTCTTATCCACTTCTTCAAGAGCTAAAATCCGACGACGTAGCGAAGTTTTGCTACTTCTGGCAACACTGAACGATATCCTACTTATACGGACCTTCTACAAATTTCCTCCAGAGGGCGTATCACTTAGTTTGAATCGCGAATAGCTCACCATAATATGGCCATATCAAGGTGAACTTTGTTTTTTTAAATGGGAATCCCATTTTTTTCTTACATATTCTTAAAGTACATAAAAAAATAAGAAACGTTTTTTAATCTATTTTTGGATGGTCCCTTAACCCGAGACGATTTCTGGGAAACCAAAACATCATAAACACAGCGGCGGAGAAAAGGGTCGTGCGGTCAGTGCAGAGACAACCCAACGTCAGTGGGACAAATGTTTGGATGGGCAGATTATCGAATACCGTTGAGGAATGCAGTCGATTTCTTTTGTTAAGACTGTAATTTCATTTGTTTTAATAACACAAGTTTACAAATTTTGGTCAACTTTTTGATCAGAACAGATGAAAACAAATCTTGACGTTATTTGAGGTGCCGAATTCAAATCCGGGTTTCATTTTTCAAAATTGGTTCTAGTTTGAGTTCGCGCATGTTGGCAGCACTGTGCTATCATAATGACAGTCAGCTGTTGGCGTCGCTAGAAACATTATTTAATTTGTATTTTTAAAGTTTTTTTTTTTTAATCCAAAACGTGTGAAAATGCAAAGACGGAATTGTAAAGTTGGTTCAAAGTGTTTTTATTATATTTGCGGATTGTTATATGATCAGAAAAAGTTATTACTAATGTGATCAGAAATGCATATTTTTATTATTTTGGTTTCTCTGTATCAAACACTCACAAGCCGTGGGTACCGAATTTTTTTTGTAACGCATGTAGCACAATATTATACAAGTGGTCACGTGGTAAAAAGTATGTTTTTCATTTTCATTTCCAATGTTATGGAGAGAGTCGAAAAATCATGTAGATGATTGTTAATTTTGCTTGATGAATGTCGTCGGTCTAAATGCAAAAAAATAGCAAACTATCCTCAAGTATCATCAGTGTCTAAGCCAGTTTCCTGTGCGAGCAATGATCCTTTGCCAATTTGTCCAGGTACGAGTCCAAATTTCATGGAAACTTGTAGTTCATCACCGACAAACAGTGGAAGCGATTTTAACATTTAATTTCGCAAAGTGAACTTAATGATTTGGTTCGTGATTTGAATTTATCGAAGCAAAAATCAGAATTGCTCGCATCACGGATGCAGGAGTGGAATTATCTTAACACTCAAACAAAAGTCACTCTATTTAGAACCAGAAATGAGGCGCTTTTACCGTTTTTCAAAAAAAAAAAAAAGAGAATATATGCTTCTGCTATGACATCAACGGTTTGTTTGATGCGATGAATACACCATACGATATAAATGAATGGCGTTTGTTCATAGATGGTTCAAAATACAGCCTGAAAGCTGCTCTGATACACAAATGGAAATATAAAACCATCAATTCCGATTGCTCATGCAGTACAAACGAAGGAATGCTACGATACAATACATAAAATTTTGACCAAGATAAAATATAAAGAACATCAATGGAAAATTTGTGGCGATTTGTAGGTTTGAAAATAAATTTCAATTCAATTTTAAAGAATAAATGATTTATATACTATTCCAACAGGTTATTGGTCTCTTGATGGGGATGCAATCTGGTTTTACCAAATTTTGCTGTTTTTTGTATCTGTAGTATAGCCGTGCAACTGACCAACATTATGTGAAAAAAAGATTTGCCAAGCCGTACTAATTATGAACCAGGAAAACAAAACGTCTCTTCTATGCCACTTGTGAACCCACAGAACATTTTATTGCCACCTCTCCACATAAAGCTTGGCCTTATTAAAAACTTTGTCAAAACGCTCGACCGTGAAGAACCGGCTTTTGAGTACTTGACCAAGTTATTTCCCAAATTCTCGTACACCAAAATCACAAAGAAGGAATATTTGTCAGACCTGATATTCGAAAATTAATGGCCGACAGAAACTTTACAAAATGTTTCACGCCCAATGAAGCAGCAGCATGGGTATCATTACAAGATGTTGTTCATAACTTTCTTGGTAACGCAAATCCCCGGATTTCAAGCAGATAATCGAAAGTTTGTTGCAAAATTATTGAAAGGTTGGAGCTCAAATGTCTCTCAAAATACATTTTCTGCATTCCTATCTCGAGTTTTTTCCTAAAAACTTGGGTGATACAAGCGACGATCAATGAGAGCGACTACACCAAGATTTGGCGAAAATCGAAAAACGATACCAAAGATTTTGAGACGAGGGCATGATGAGCGACTACTGTTGGACTTTAATGCGTGAAACAGATCCCAAACAGTACAAGCGACTCAGTTCGACTGATCTTCATTTCTAATTTAACACTTTTTAATGAATAAAATGGAGATTAATTGTCAAAAATTGTAAAAAATGTGTTTATTTAATATCTCGAAAACTAGAACCAATATCAAAAAACAGAGTGCAGATTCGGATTCAGCGCCCCAAATAACCTTAAAAACAGCTTTTGGTTGCTTAGATCCAAAACTGTGTATACTTGTGTAATTATTAGTTTTTGTAACATTATTTTAATATTAATAAACTTCATACGTAAAATAAACATTTAATTATTTGTGTAGTTTACAGTTTGAGGGAAATATATTTTTTATTGGACTTTTACTTTTTGAGTAACAGCTACTTGAAAATGTTGCTGCGCGAAAAAAAAGTTGGCCATATTATGGTTAGCTATAAAAAACGATTTTAGCCAAAAGTTTTTCCCCACCAAACTATAAAACTTTCGTCTGAAACGGTTTTTTTTATAAAAAGCGGTATATAGCTGTAAGGCTTTAATTTGAACACCCGGTATAAAAGGTAACGCAGTTGCCAACTTGTGAAAAATTTCGCGAAGTTTCGAGGCTAAAGAAAGTGCAACAAAGTTGTTTTGTTACGCGATTCAATGCATAAAATGTGTAAAATCACTGGATACAAAATGCATAAATATGACAACCCTAAACTCACTACAAAAGGAACTGCAAAATGCCAAAGGTACAATATATACATGCTCAGATTGTACAGGTGAAATCAAATCTAAGCCTGATAAACCCTCTGAATGCTGTAGTCGCAATGACTATTCCTTGACAGATATAATGAATAAATTAATCAGTGATTTTCTAAAGCTATTTGCAATGCAACAGAAGAAAAATGAACTGAAAAATGAAATAAACATCTTAAAACAACAGATACACGAACTAATGCAGAAAAACTGGAAAATGGGGACAAATTTATTTTCCTTTACTCAATATACCTGCCAAACTATCGATAATAAATTACAGCTTGATGTAATCTATACTGATTTCTCAAAGGCCTTCAATAAACTTAATCACAATGTGCTCCTCAAAAAATTAGATTCATATTATGCTTTTGATGCAAATATGTTAAGATTTTTCCAGTCATACTTCTCCAATCGTATACTCTTTGTTGAATACAGAGAGGGTACCAGTCATATAAATTTTTATCTACAAGTGGCGCCCCTCAAGGTAGTAATTTAGCTCCACTACTGTTCTGTCTATTTATAAATGATTTACCCAATTCAAATAAAAGTAAAAAACTCCTCTTTGTGGGTGATTGTAAATTTTACAAAGCTGTAGAAACAGTGTGAGACTGTGATATCTTGCAACAAGTCTTGACAACACTGGGACAACTGGTGGGACTTAAATAAGTTACCTTTGAATATACATAAATGTAAATGCGCAACTTTTACTTTAAAAGGTAGATCAAACAAAGGATCTAGGTGTTTTCTTTAGCAACAATTTAAGTTTTTCATCACATTTAACAAAAACAATAGAATATGCAAAGAAAACATTGTTATTTTGTCATTTTTAGTAAATGCTTAGAAATTCTATTTAATACTTATGTAAGATCGCATCTAGAATGCTGTTCAATTGTCTAGTCACCTGGATACAATATTTACATTGACCAAATCGAATCTATTCAAAGAATATTCATGAAGTACATGGCATGGAAATTGGATAAAATCTATCCACAGCAAGGTATCGACAAAAATATACTATTAAATTGGTTCAACTTCTCATCTCTAGAAAATCGCAGGAAATACATTTCATGTATCTTTATATATAAATTAATGAATAATTTAATTGATTGTCCAGAGCTCCTAGAACAAATTAACTTTAATACACCACGACTAAATAGGAGAAATGAGCAGACATATTACCTCTCTACTCCCAGAACGAAAATACTAAAGGGATTGACCCATTCTCATGTTCATTAAATCAAAATATTGTCATAAAATTTCATTACATGGTCATCTCTTTTTGTTAAATTTGGATATTACTATTCTTATTTGTTTAGTTTTATTATTATACATTATGTACTTGTTTCAGCCTTATTAGTATTTAAGCTGTCCTGTAATTGGGTGTACTCCTATTTGGACAATAAAGGAATTTTTTTTTTTAGTTCAGTTGCAAAGTTGGATATTATAAGGGCTTTGCTAAATATAGCTGCTAGCAAAGATGGTTCAAAAATAATTTTGTTTGTAAAAGGTTTTTTATATGAAAAATTAAAAGAAGGTATTAATGACAACTAGGTTATCAAGGCGTTATTAGTCGAGTTTGCCCCTGAACAAAAGTCTTTACAGTCTCAAAGCCCCTCGATGCTGGAATAGCTGAAGTAGGTATAATTGTTTTTGTACCCAGCAACCCCATGGTTCCATTGATTGATTCATTTATTTCTGCAATGTTTATTTAAACAAAATATGTATAATCTTTCTGTGAAAAAAATTGAAATTGGAGAATGGCTTAAACTAAACTTTCCAAACAATGTTTTAAAAATGTCCTGCATTACAAACTTTAAAATGGTAAGAAATGTCTATACAGTAACTTACTGAGAAAATATACAAATAATGTCTCCTTCAGTTAGATCATAGGGCAATCCTCCAATAAATATCCAAGCACTATCTTTGTATTGATCATGCCATGAAGTTTTGTTCTTTCTATCCAATTCATTGGCACTTAATTTCAAGACATTTTTCATATTCCTGGAAAGCTAGTGTTAATATTATTCATAAATTAGAAAAAAAACTTACGTTAATGGATTCATCGTGACAAGAAATAATACTTATAGATCTAATAACTTGTGTATTGCATATTATTTTAAAACTACAATCCAAAATAAAAATATGTCACTCAAATATATAAATTGTTCGAATATTCCTGGATCAATGGCCATAAAAATAATTAAGTCTGCTATTCAGCTACATATCCTTTAACCAAAAAACAAGACATAAAAGTAGAAGATTTGACTTTGACATTCTAACTGTCATAAGATAAAAGTGTCAGTTACTTTTTCATTTTATATTTTATTGTTTTATTAGTAATGAATGTAAAAAGTTAAAATGTTCATCAATGATGTTAACAAAAAAGAGGAAATAAGAAATATAGCTACAAAACAGTTGCGGAAATTAGGAATTAAACAACGTGTAAAAAATTCGAGATCTAGCACACAGGTATACTTTTTAAATTTCATTAATAGATTTCCTTTTTAAATTTTATGGTTTTTGTAGAACTTGAGAACTAAAAAATTATTCAAAGTACATCTCCAAAATCTTGAAAATGAAACAATTACGCTTACCAATGGACAGCAATTGGTTGTACCCAAAAGACTGTATGAAATGTGTTCTTATATTTTATCAAAAGTGGACACAGAAGGCCTTTTCAGAAAAGAAGGTTCCAAATCAAGACAAAATGAAATTAAGGTTTTATTTTAAATAGTCTTATTATTTATATTCACGAGATTTAGATATCCATTTTAAAAACTTAATCAAACAACTGTATTTTTAGCTATCACTGGACCGCGGGTGTATGTTGGGAACTGAGCATCATGTTATAGATGTTGCTGTAGTACTTAAATGTTTTCTTAGAGAGTTACCTGAGCCTTTGATTCCGTACCCTTTTCATGAACTATTTATAAGATGCTCTATAATAGAACAAAAAGTAGAAGCAATATTATTGGCTTGCCTCTTAATTCCAACAGAAAATTTAAGTGTTCTTGCTCTTTTAATGCAGGTTGTTATTCATTTTTGTATAAATAAGATTTTTATTTTGAATGTATTATAAAGTATCAAATATAAGCAATCTTTGTTTTAGTTTTTCAGTGAGATAGCTGTTCACTCAAAATTTAACAAAATGAACTCCTACAATCTTTCTCTTGTTATTGCACCTAATATATTTCCATTGAATGAGAAATTAGCTCCAAAAAATAAGCTTATGCTGAAGAAGACTTGTGATATTTTAAAAGTAAGTAAAATAGATTTAGTGTAAAAAAGTCATTACCAAAATCTCATTCATAGGTTATGATTGATAATTCAAATAATATAGGTCTTATACCAGACTATATTCTTGAACAAGTTGGAAATTTGAGACCTGGAGAGTTAAATATTTCAAATAAAATAAAAAGACGAAGAAGTGGATCATTAACAAGTAATTATATTTTTTATTTGGATTGTAATATTTTTATAATATAATTTCTTTTAAGGAATTTTTAATGGTTTAAGAAAAATAGTAACAAATAAAACAGATGACATTGCTGCAGTTAATACAGTAACCCCTGATTTACTTTTGACTCCATCAATAAAAGCTATCAAAAAAAGGTAAAAAAAGACTTAACAAAATTTAAAAAGTGCATGTTGATTTAAACTTATCACAAGTAAATAATAAAACAGGTGATGGGTAATTTGAAAAAATTCTTGTAACACATGATGAAAAAAATTGATTTTTTATTTTTACTTTAGCACCACTGAAACAAGTTTAGCAAATCAGAAAATTCAGACAGTCAACAACAAAAAAACCATGCTGGTACGAAGATGGTCTGCCATAACTTCAGCTGCCCATCTTAAGAGAAAAAAAAGAAATTCATTTATAGGCCATATCCAGGAAACCGGTAGTTTCAACTCATCCAAAGATTATGTGCGTGTTCCCAAAGTAGAATATGAAGAAATTAAAAACAGAGTGTCTGCTATTGAAAAACGTCTGTCCTTGGAATTAGAAAATGCCCAGTCCCAATCGACAGTAGTACACAATGAAGTTAATATTATCCATGGAATACAAACAGCTTATGAACAGACCCTTGGGCAGACTGAACCTTTAAGTCCAGGTGAATCATCTTTCTTATATTGTGAGATACTTTAGGTACATATATAATGATAATAATACTCATCTATATTTTCATATGAATATATTACATAGAGAACAAGTCAAAGTACAAGTTAGTATAAGTATATATAAAAAATAATAGTAATAAAATAAAACACAAATACAAATAATAATTAAAATTAGCGACAGTTATATTGATAATAGTAATAAAATAAAACAAATGTAAATAATAGCTAATATTAGGCTTAGTGAAATAATACAAACTCTTCAAGGGTAGGTATATGGATTAACATCATTCATGTATTTTTTTAGTTTCTTTTTGAAATTGTTCATGTTGGAGCGTTTTTTTACATCATTTGGAATTAAATTGTATAACATGCATCCATTAAAAAAATACACCTATCTGATATAGATATTATATTGATTAGACTATAGTGAATTTTTATATTGAGTATGGTCACAGATTAACCACAACAGATGCGAAACCCGGCAAAAGATCAAAGGATTTTGAAATGAGATTCCTATGACCTTGGACCTTTAAATGGATATGGCATAGGTGTTGCCAATTTTAATTATTTTCAATCAGTCTTACTAAATATGATTTTTTCTAAACATGCTTTTTGGATGCCAGGGTTGGTTTAGGTAACTAATGTATAGTAGCAGCATTAGTATGTTAAAAAAGTTATCGATAGGAGTTTCATTTTTAAACATTTTAATAGAAAAAGAATATGATTTGTATTAATATTTTCAAAATTTTATTATAGGTAAAAAGTTATAACAAGCAACGAATTATAATGTAAAGGTTTTAAAACTTTATTAAGCGGGCTTTGTTAGACATAAAATCAAGTTAAAGACCTCCGTTTTCTCTTTAATGTGTTGAAATAAATATATTGGCAATGAATGGCCTATTGATGGAAAGTTGACGGGAAATTGCAGGCCTTTTATCAAATTAATACTGACTGCTAATAAAGGCCATGTGCCAGGTACAATTCGATAGTGCCTCTTTGACCAGCAGTACTGTTTGAAGTATATAAAACCGAATGCATTCCAATATACCTAGAATATTGTAGACATTTTATTTAATTCAGCTATATAATATATAAAAAAGATAAAATGTAAGTAAGTAAGTAAATTCTTTATTTAGCTTTCAGCTAGTTATAAACAAATATTTACAATTTAAACTTAAAACTATAGGTTACCTAAACCTAGATAATTACTAATCATATTTTTAAAACTACCTAGAGTTGGGGCATCTTTTATATTTTTAGGCAACGCATTAAAAAGACGAATCCCTTCCTGCAATAATGAGCCCATCAAAAAAGATTTTTTTGTGAAATCAATATTAAAATTGTCCATTGATCTGAGTGGACGTAAATGAAGTTCAGATCTTTTTACAAGTAGTGTACTAAGGTATTTGGGAGTTTTGTGATGTATCATCTTATATATTAGTATTAAATTCGACATTTTAATGCTTTGCTCAATTGTATAGACATTCAGCTGTTCATGCATTTCCCTGACCGAAGTGTAAATATTACAATTTAATATTATCCTTAAACATTTATTTTGTAACAGTTGCAATCTGTTGATGTTTTCTTTAGTAGCTGATAATAGTAATTCATTACAATAATTAAAATGTGGGCGTATTATTCTAAAAAAACCAATTTTTTTACCTAATTTTTTACATAAGTAATTGGCATGATTATTAAAAGTTAATTGTTGGTCAATAATGACTCCTAAATATTTTATTTCCAGTACTTGTTCAATTGGTTCACCACCTATTTCTACTACTTGATCATGCGCATTAAGTTGTCTGCATTGTGCTTTTGATCCTAGGATCATATATTTTGTTTTTGCAGTATTTAATTTAAGCTTATTTACACACATCCAGTCATACAAAATAGACAATTCTTCATTTAATATTTGAATTATTTCCTGAAAATCTCTACCAGATACTGAAATGAGCGTGTCGTCCGCGAAAAGGCTAATAAATGATCTTTTTAATCGTTTATGAATGTCATTTACATAAATAATAAATAAAAGTGGACCCAACACACTTCCTTGCGGTATCCCGTAGTGGCTTTCTGTTTCACTAGATATATTATTTCCTATTTTAGTCTTATGATACCTATTAGACAAATACTCCCTAATTAAATTTAATGCTACCGAATTTACACCGTAATTTTGCAACTTTTTTAATAAAAAATTTCTATTTATTGTTTCAAAAGCCCTTTTAAGGTCAATAAAAACACTAACAATAATATTATTTTCATTCATATCATTTCTCCATTTCGCACAAACAAATTGGAGAGCTGTTTCACAAGAATGTTGGTCTCTAAACCCTGACTGTCCCTCATACAAAATATTATTGTCTTCAAAATAAGACTTGAGCTGATCTCTTACTACAATTTCAATGATCTTATCTGCAGATGGTAATAAATTTATAGGCCTACAATCTTCTGGTCTTGTTGGACATGATATTTTGGCTATTGGCACAATTACACTAACTTTTAAATCACTGGGAAACGTACCCTTTACAAGGACCGTATTTACCAGATTAAGAAGAGGGTACCCGATAACACAAAATAACCCCTTCAATAGTGCAATACTTAAACATGCGTCACCTGAACTTTTATTTCTTCTGAAAAATGTATTTTCATAAAATAATCTAAATTAATAACATGTATGAGCAAGAAATTACAATGAATAATGAGTACCATCAATCCCAAACTGGCGTCATGTCCACTCGTTGAGTATGTAGCAAGTGATCATCGGTGTCCTTATCTATGAACGTGAGACGGAACCCTCCTGGACTGTTGGAGGGTTGGGTCTGCGGCAGTTAAAAGCCTTTTGACTTTTACTTGGCTCTCACCCATTCATCAACCAACATAATGCTGGGCCACTATTAAAAGGACAAAAGTATTCTTTTATGTTTTAATCCTCGCATTCATTTTTGCTTCAATTACAGCAAAAGACCAGCAATATCCCGGCAATTCATTGTTTGTTGGGATACAATATAAACTCATCACCAACAAGTATACCAATACAACTTTTTTAAATAATTGAGGTTTGAATACTTATTGCATACAACCCTATTAGCACGAAATTACAATTCTATCGCCACAAACCTAATAAAACAAATATTGAACAAATAGTTTGGTAGGTTGATACTTCTGAACTGAAAATGCAAAATAGAACATTTATTCATGGATATTCATTAAATTTGGTTTTAGTTTTATATTTATCAAATTCTTCATGAATTAATTAATTAATGAAGAATCAGATCTAAAGCACTCAATAAGACATTACTTAAAATACATACCTTTCTTTTTTTTGCTGATTTCTGAAATATATGTTGTTGAATTTTATTAGGTAAAATTTTCGAAGACGAATAAATATATTTAAAAAGTTGTCATTAGAAAAATGTTGACAAGGGTGTTTAAATCCTTGAACTGTATTAACCTTCACCTGGCATGCTCATCCTGAGTAACATACCTGGACTCGTGGGGTACGTACGAACCCCAGTGATAAAAATCTTTGTAAAAATTGAAATATTGATTATTTTGTCTCAAAAAAATTTAGAGATCCTCTTTAGATACCACTTTAAACTCTAGAATAGTTCGAATTGAAAAAAGATCAACGTTTATAAAAAATCCGGAAAATTTAAAAGCTTGAAAAAAATGCGTTTTTAACAAAAAAAAAACTTTTTGTTTTTCGATAAAAAGGGCTGAAATTTTAGCTGTATTCTTCTGTTACATCACTATAAAAGAATAATAATTGTTTTCATGGGTCTTTAAAAAGTATTTATTTTGATAGCGCTATCCCACTGGCCTAGGTATAAAAGTATATCCCTTGACTACCGATAGATGTCGTTACGAGTTTCTATTTCGAAGATTTAGATATCGAAAATCGACGAGAAAGAGCGTGGGGGTATGTACATACCCCACGAGGCCAGGTGAAGGTTAAACAAATTATACAAATTATTTCCAAGTGTGGGACAAGGTAAGTAATTTTTCATATTTTTTAAAAACTGCAATATTCCAACTGATAAATGTACTCATAAAAACATTCGGTTGGTGTTTTTAGACTTCCAAATAATGATTTGATATCATAACCTTTGAAATGTATAAAAATATTGTTGCTATCTAAAACGAAAGTTGCAGTAGAGAAGTGTTCATACATTTACAGCTATGAATTCGAAGACATTTTATAAGTGCCCAATTGCCACCACGACGTATATTCTTCGTTTCACTCATGATTTATCTACAGAAGAAGACTTAGATACAAATACACAATATTTTTGTCCAAAAATGCACACAACGCAAAGCGTCACGACAGGTCCTGATTGTCCTGAATGTCACAGAAATGTCATCTCACAGCATCCTAAGCAAGGTTGTCACATAAAAAATTAAAATTTTAAAGTTTTTAAAATTGTCATTGATTGTCATTAATAAATGTAAACTATAAACCTTTAAGGAGGTTCTTTCGCCACACCTCTCGCCTCTAATGTTAAAAAAAAAGTTATTAGAGTATGACTAAAATTAATTTTTTTCTAATAGTTGAAGTCCTTATTTATCTAATACTGAACTTTTAACTATACCTTACATTGCAAATTTTTGAGAATTTTTTTTTAAAAATTTAAATGGGTATGCCCATTTATCTCTCTCTTAATTTTAATGTTCTTTGTCAACTTTCGCATCTGGGTAATCTGTGGTATGGTATTGTTTAAAGTGAAAGTGGAAAAATTGCATTTTTTGTTTTTAACAATGAACTGGAGTGGGGTAGAAAGCCAATGTGCATATTGTATCAATAGAACAAGATGCGACTCTATGGGCGCTGCCATTTTTATTTCTCATCTCACTCGGGAGTATTTATTATAACCATTATAACTCCCGAGTGAGATGAAAAATAACCTGTCTTTGCCCATAGAGTCGCATCTCAAGCCTATTGACAAGCATTCTACCCCACTCCAGTTCATTGGGTTTTAAATGTTTTTTAGTGTTG